GTTACCCTTAATCTCCTCCACAACAGTAGGCACTCAATACCCAGGGGTTCTCTTTTGAGTTGGATGAGATTGGAGATGATGTGCTGCCTCCCCGATTACTATTTGACAGCTACCAAGTCTAAGATCTAAATAGAAGATTTTTTAAAATATAATTTATTATTTTTTTATAGAGAGAAAGGGAGAGAGATAAAGAGTTAGAAACATCAATCAGCTGCCTCCTGCACACCCCCCACTGGGGATGTGCCCGCAACCCAGGCACATGCCCTTGACCGGAATCGAACCTGGGACCTTTCAGTCCGCAGGTCGACGCTCCATCCACTGAGCCAAACCGGTTTCGGCTGCCCCAGACTTTTTATATCAGAAAAAGTCTGGATTCATTTCTCACTTTTTATGTGAGAAATGACAAGTGCAATTGAAACAGTGTTGTAAATATTATATTGTGCATCAATATTGGTTAAGCACATTTTGTGGGCTGGGAAGTTATATTTCTCTAAGAAATCCTCAAATTCTACCATGTAAACTTGAACGGCTGGACTTCCAAGCCTAATTTTCTATAACTGCATTGCACAGTATCATAGCCACCAGCTACATATAACTGCAGAGCACTTTTAAGCTTTGTTGTCAGGGTAATATACACACAGATTGCAAAGAATTTATGTAAAAAAAGTAAAATATCTCTAAAATTTTACATTGATTTTAAGTTTGAATATTATTTTTACATATTGGTTTAAATATAATATTTTAAAATCAATTCACTTGATTTTTAAGATGTTATTAATGTGGGCTGTTCAAAAATTTGAAGTTATATATGTGGCTCACATTATATTTCTATTGGATAACACTAACAATATTTACATCTACCCTAACACTTATCACAGGTGTTAATCTTTTCATAGACCTAATCTTACCCTCTGTCACCAATACCTGATATACCAAAAGTGTAATTATTCTCCATGACTCATTTAACTGGGTGTTTAACAGTCAAGCCATCAAGCGGTACTCCACGTATGAATATTCATTAAAAACTTAACATTTAAACCCTAACTGGTTTGGTTCAGTGGATAGAGCATCAGCCTGTGGACTGAAGGGTCCCACGTTCCGGTCAAGGGCATATGCCTGGGTTGTGGGCCTGATCCCCAGGGTGGGGTGGTGGGGGGACATGCAGGAGGCAGCCAATCATTGATTCTCATCATTGATGTTTTTATCTCTCTCTCACTCTCTGAAATATATAAATACTTAACATTTAAGATTTCACAAAGGCTTCCAGTCTTTTGTGCCACAGAAAATATGAATTCCTACTGAAGAAATCTAACACCTCTGTTGAATATATATTTGTAAAACAGGCCTCTTCCATCCTTCACTTGGGCTAAGGGTAACATCTTTCTCCTCAGGATCCAGCACTGAAATACCCTAGCTCAATAGAAAGACTAATTGTCCAGCAAAGGAATCAAAGATCTAAAAAACGCCCTTGGGCTGATGCCACCAGAAGTTTATATTCAGAATCCAGAATTGAAGAAGCCAGAGGAATGCCACAGAGCCCTGAATCTCCATTCATCTTCCTGAGCATCAACCAGCCTTGCCAGTATTTTCTTTACCAACCTAAGAGGTTGCTGATCTTGAATGTCTAATCCAACTCTAGACCCTCCCTTCTGAATATGTCAGTAAACTCTCTAGATGTTATCCTGATATTTACTCAGGGACAATGCACTGTCCCTATATCTAGTAACGTCTCCCTTAAAAAAGAGAAAAGCTAAAC